TAGTCGATTTACGACGGTCTGAGCCGAGATTAGAACCCCTAGCGGTGCCCTCAGACTAAAGACGTATCCGTCAAGCTAGAGTTCGTCTTCAGCCGCTCCATAAGTACTTCATTTGGTTTGGAGTGTCATCTACACTTGCCCCTATCGTCCGATGAAGCTGTAAAGGCCAACTGCGGCCAGCAGCATTAGAGTAGTCCGAAAAAAATGGTTGAAATTCTAGTACACTCGCGCCGTTAACTTGTTTCATATTTCAGTGACATATAAACTGTACTTTATATTACATTAGCTACTCACCCCGGCATCGCACGGGTACATGTATTATACATATAAACCTTCCTCTTGAATCACTCTATCTATTAAAATAACCGCTTCAAATTCCGTTGCGTACTTTTAAAGATTTAAGCATACATAGGGACAGATAGATAGCGACAGCGACTTTGTTTTTGTTGAGAAACTCTTTTAATATCAATATATTTAAAGTTTTCTTTTATTCTCTAATCAAAACTATAAAAATAAAATTATTTATTGTCACTTCACTCTCCACCATCACTCCATCTTACCATTAAATACATTTTTCCAGTCATAAATAGTTTTACTACATATTTCTACAACAGTTTAATACTATATAATGAAGAATTAGTCTAATTAGGTACAGAAGACTTGCAGCTGAAAATTAAATAAGTAGGCAATTAATTTAACTTACTTAACAAAAGTGATATAAGTTCGAGAGGATTTTGGCGTAAGAAGTTACAAAATTGAGAGTTAACAGTTCAGTGACTGTTTAATTATTCTAGGTCTGTCATTATAGGCTTACACTTCAACTTTATTAGAGTGTAACTTTTAATGTCCTTTGTACTAGCTATATCAAGCAGGTTAAGGAAATAGTTGGAGTCGTCTTGTATCAACAACTAAAAATATTGATAGAAGATCGGGTGACGGGAACTCCACCGATCTTCTTCGTGTTAAAACTGTTGTAGAAATCTGTAGTAAAACTATTTATGACTGGAAAAATGAATTTAAAGGTAATATTGTAGAGAGTGATGTGTTTTTATAGTTTTGATTATAAAATAAAAGAAAACTTTAAATATATTGATATTAAAAGAGTTTCTCAACAAAAACAAAGTCGCTTTCAGTTCTATCTGTCTCTTTGTATGCTTAAATCTTTAAAAGCACAGCACTTTATTACATTTTAAAATATAGTATAAAATGAAGTCGCTGACTCTGTCTGTCCCTATGTATGCTTAAATCTTTAAAACTACGCAACAGATTTTGAAGCGGTTATTTTAGTAGATAGAGTGATTCTAGAGGAAGGTTTATATATATAATACATGTACACCCGTGCGAAGCCGGGGCGACTAGCTAGTAAATTATGAATGAATGTATTATAGAGAAGAAAATATAACATCTTTTATATTCATTTAAATATTACTTCTTAAATTGAACCGGCTTACTATCTCTGATCAACGCGACGGTTGACTGGTAGAGAATCACGCATTAAGTCTGCCATGGATACAATTTTGTGTGCAAAAGGATTAATAAATAAATAAACATCTGTACTAATATTAGAAAGGTTTTTAATTTTATTAGTTTTGACTAACCTACTAATTTTGAAATGTACTGATTTGAATTCAAAACCTATATAATTATTGGATAACCCATTCCTCGGTATAGGTTATAGGCAATATAATATCTCGCTATGATCGATACGAGCGGCGCTACAACGAAAAATGTGTCGTAGATGAAGATACCTGCTAATCTTGGAAAGAACTGATTTCAAAACCTATTATAGTATTGGAAAACCCATTTGTCGAAATAGGTTACAGGCTATAGGCTATATAATATCTCGCTATGATCTATAGGAGGGGCGCAACAACGAAAATGATGAAAATGTGTCGTAGATGAAGATACCAACTAATCTTGGAAACAACTGATTTCAAAACCTATTATAGTATTGGAAAACCCATTTGTCGAAATAGATTATATAATATCTCGCTATGATCTATAGGAGGGGCGCAACAACGAAAAATGAAGATAGGCAAGATAGCCTATCCCTAGACATAAAGAATTCAACACAACAATTCTCAGTGTATAGAGGCCGTTCAAGTATTATGTAAGCAGATTTATTACAATTATTTACACCTCTCCCCCTATCTCCCTTGTCAGCAAAAATATTTCTTTTTTGGATTACAAATACACTATTATTATTTTATACCGGGTCCTTGGGGTCCCTAGAATACGGTCGAGTGCAACGATGGCCGGCTCATCCGTCATACCCATGAACGAGTTCTGTATTGGTCTTAGGGGCCGTTCAAATATTACGTAAGCAGATTTATAACAATTATTTACCACCCATCCCCCTTGTCAGCAAAAGTAAGCAAAGCTCTTATCCCCCACCCCCATGCTTACGTAAACATTTTTCAATTAATGTATTGTTTTTTTAGCAAAGAAACGTGAGGGTTGCCATTCGTGTAAAAAAGTAAATGACTGCATATGACGTAATCATCATCTAGACTCCCCCACCCCCATGTCATCCATAATAAGTAAATTGTGAAACTAGATGGCCTCCCCCGCCCCTCCATAGTGATCATGTAATATTTAAACAGCCCCATATATATATATATATAAATGATATTTCAGGTCATTATCTTTTTGTATATTCAATATACTATGAAACTTCCAGTATTAGTAGTAACGTTCTCCATAATTTTGTATTGTCTCTGACTACCCCATCCGGATTAGTCGTGACGGTATATAATATCATATATTCATCATCTGCTTCTTCCTTATCCCATTTATTTGGGGTCGGCGTAATATGTTTTTCGCTTCCATTCATCCCTGTTCGCAGTCATCGCGTTATTTACTTCCTTTCTTACCATTTATATACTTTCACACAGTCCATCCATCTCTTTTTCGGCCTTCCTCTGCCCTTATAACCATCCACATTCATATGTAAACACCTTTCTTAAAATATTATCCTCATTCCTACGCATTACATGTCCATACCATGATAGATGATTACTCTTCAACCTCTCTGACGTTTGTATACGCCACTTTCATACTTCCTCTAATGTATTCATTCTTTATCTTATCCATTCTTGTCACACCACACATCCACATATATCATATCATATAAAAGTCTCTCAAAAATAGTGGTTAATATTTTTAACATTAACGTTAATTATTAAAACACTATTTAAATAGGTTACATCACAATACCAGCATATTATAATTATATAAATTTGTCGATTTATGACGGTCTTAGCCGAGATTCGAACCCTAGCAGTGCCCTCAGACTAAAGACGTATCCGTCAAGCTGGAGTTGGTCTTCAGCCGCTCCATAAGTACTATAAAACGATTAACAAATATTAAATTAATATTACTTAACCCTTTTAATATGATAACCCAATTAAAAGTATCAGTAATAGGCAACCCATATCTATAAAACTTAACCCTTATTAAATCGAAACGAACAGACATAGTGTTATCGCTAGCTCCGGATATAGATGGCGCTGGAAGCAAGCACCAACGCCAAAGTAGTATTAATTATTAAAATTACCCGCAGTTGTAATATTGTGAAACTAGATGGCGCTAGCGGCGCACTCGTCCCCACTAATACTACTTTACCTATTTTATAACGCCATCTTGTAATGGAGATTCTTTTTGTTTAGCATTCATTCGGAAACCGTTGGAGGGAAAGGTTAACAGTAGACTCCAAAGTTTGTTACATTATATTCCAAGATTGGTATTTAGATATAATTATTACAGACAAATTCCAATAAGATTCAACGTATCCTATAATTGTTTAAATGAATTTGATTAAAGAAACTAGATAATTAAATATAATGATTATGCCTACATTCATTAATATTTACATTAGAAACTTTTAGAATTAAAATCAAAACGTGAATCATCATCATTGCCTTGCCTTTATCCCATTATTTGGGGTCGGCGCAGTATGTCATTCTCTTCCACTGCTTCTCTCAATCCACTCTTCCACCAAAATCAAAACGTGAATAAATAACTATATATATATATATATATATATATCTGTAATGTGTTTAACTCTTTGTTACTTGTTACTCAGACGTGAAATATAAAGACTTTTTTATACAAAACCACAGTCAGTCAAAACAACAATATAAAGTTGAGTAAATTATATAAATGGTGTTGCTTTTAGTTGAAAATTCACCTGAGACCCTCATTACGTCTTTCAACTAGTTTACAAAACCACAATATAGTCGGTTAGAACAAGTTTGAACGGGACCGCAAGTTGTGCAAAGTGCTTCTTTTGTACAACACTTATTATTGTGAGAAGTTTGTCGTAACTCTGTCCGATTTAGTTATTCCACTTGTGAATTCGACAAACTTAGTTTTAGGTTATGTTCAATTTATTTTCTTTTGTACTGATATTTGAAAACTAACATTTATTGTCGTTTAAGAACATCGGTAGTTTATTTCCTGAATACTCTAACGAAGCTGATCTTTACAGCTTCACCGGAAGTTAGGGGGTGAGTGCGGATGGCCCAGACGTTTAAGAGACTAGTAAGAACAACCAGACAGACATTTTTTTGTTTTTATATTCATTTGAAAGCCTGTGAAAAGCTGTTAATTTGAAATTTTTTGTTTGTTTGTATAATTAAATTAAATTATTTATTTTTATTAATAAACTGACTGTTAATAATATTAGAAATTAAAGTAAATACTAATATATGAAAAAAACAATATGTGTTTTATTTCATTATTTTGTATTATATATGTATAAATAATTAAATTTTAATAGTATATTCATATTTTAAAACTACATTTTACATAATAAGTATAAACTTACAAATTGTATAATAATAATAAAAATTATATAAATTAATGTACATATAAACTTTGAGAACCACACAGAAATAGCGTACGTTGTTAAAACCATAACAATAAAATGTTAAACAATTCACGCGCGGCCGTCCGCTGAACACATCCAATCCTGCGCATGCGCATCCGCGCCGTTCATCATGTCCACTAGCATTAGTGCATTGTGCTCAGCATGCGTTCTACTGTTTACTTGCATTGTGAATATCGAAGCGTTTGAAGGAAAAGGTAAGTAAACACTGTTTTAAATCTGTCTTAATTATTATAGGTATCTCTGGCTTCCATAGGCTACGGTAACCATTTACCATCAGATGCCAACAGCGTAGTATAAGAAAAGCCTTGATAATTCACACAGTGTTATCTAATTCCAAGTTAAGCTTGTGTTATGATTACTAGACAACTGATATAAATATATAACCCTGAACAATTAAGACAGAGCCATCTATTCACAAGTTAAGCAAAGCTTGTGTTATGGGTGCTAGACAACTGATACAAATAAGTAGTATTTTTTATGAATACATACATAAAGGCCATAAGGCCTCCAGCAAGGTGGACCGACGATCTGGTCAAGATCGCTGGAAGGCATTGGATGCGAGCAGCGCAGGACCGATCGTCGTGGAGATCTTTGGGGGAGGCCTATGTCCAGCAGTGGACGTCTTCTGGGCTGCGATGATGATGATGATGACATATATAAAGTAGAAAACATCCAGACCGCACGTGCTAGTGCATTGTGCTTAGTATGCGTTTTATTTTTACTGTTTTAAACGTCTCTTAATTATAGTAATAATTTGGATAAAGTGGATAATTCACACAGCATTATCTAGTCCCAATCTAAGCAGATTATATAATGCGTACTAGACAACTGATACGAATAAATTCGAGCATCACATTTTTTTCAATCTACCGCTCTTTCGGAAAGTTGTCTCATCATAAGAAGAACGAGCAAGATACATGTGTGTCGCTCTTTTAAATAACCGTTGTAAGTTTATATACTTAATCTGGATAACTAATACAATCACACAGCGTCATATAATGCCAATAATAATAACCCTGGACAATACACAGCGCCATCTAGTTGCACGCTAAGCAAAGCTTGTGTTATGGGTACTAGACAAGAGATACAAATATTTTTTTTAAACACAACATAACATAAAATGCACCTAGACTGCACGCGCTAGTGCATTGTGCTTAGCATGCATTTCATTGTTTACTTACACTGTAAATAGAGAAGTGTTTCAATGATTATAGTATTTACGGCAATGAACTTTATTTTATATATATATTTTATTCTTATTATCATTATTTATCACTCTTTTTTTTTCTCCTGTACGTAATATACTCATGACGCACATACACACAACACACATTAATTAGATATTGGGAAACACGTTCTGGTATTTATTGCATGTATTGCATATAATTGTAAAATAATTCACCACAAAATAATTAACCTAATTGTAAAATAGTCAATTAAAGTGTACATATACTGCATATTTTTGGTATCCGCGCTCCCAGCCCCCAAGAAACAGGCCTGACCTAGTTTGTGTCGACTACAGATAATAGAAATATATAAAAATTGTATTATATTGTAAACATGTAAATGTAAATCTATAATATATTATTATTCTTGATGTATAAATAAAATAAAAGGTAAGGAAATACTGTTTTAAACGTGTCTTAATTATAGTCATAATCTGGATAATTCAGACAGCATTATCTAGTCCCAATTTAAGAAAATTATGTTATGCGTACTAGACAACTGATACGAATAAATAAATAAATGACCCTGGTCAATTAACACAGCGCCATCTAGTCCCACGGTACCAGACATTAAACAACTTTGAGTCACTGATGGTTGGCGGATGGTAGTACTTTTATCTATACATATAAACAATATTGGAGTGTCTGTTTGTAATCTTGAAATAACCGTTTTTTATTACATGCATATATATACGGTACATATACCAAAATATTTTTTTTTATAATTTTTGTCTGTCTGTTTGTTCCGGCTAATCTCTGAAATGGCTGGACCGATTTTGACGGGACATTTTTTGGCAGGGAGCTGATGTAATAAGGAGTAAATTAGGCTACTTTTATTTTAGAACGACAGACAGACAGACAAAAATTTTAAAAAGTGGTTTTTTGTTATATGTTCTGTATTTATATTCATATGCATGTAGTAAAAAACGGTTCTTTCAATATTACAAACAGACACTCCAATTTTATTTATATGTATAGATTTGTGCATTAAAGTATAAATAAAGAAATACTTACACAATTTTTTTGTAGACCATACCGATACAAACAATCATACTCATGAATACAAATGTTAAATAAATAAATTAGTTAACAACTATAGATCTAATTTCAATTTGAACACAATTGCAACAATGTTTAGAGAGCAAACGACGTTTTCCCATAATTTTAGTCAACATTGGTTGTTGATACTAATTAGGACATTACTTCCTTTTAAACAATTTGAAATGACAAAATACATATATTTCTTCTTTGTAATATTTGATTTTAAGACTATATCTTTACATAGTATAAAACAAAGTCGCCGTCGATGTCTGTTCGTTTATACGTTCGTTCTTTCAAATTACGTTACGGATTTTAATGTAAATTTCAGCAATAGATAGAGTGATTCATGAGGAAGGTTTATATATATAATACATGCGTGTTATAGTATAGAACAAGTCGAGAAATTAAAAAAATTGTAATACATCCGTGTGAAGCCGGGATGAGTCGCTAGTTAGATAATAATTAAGAAATGTATCCTTGTTAAACGTAGGACACCCAATTATCTATGATTCTAACAGCGATCGGAACTTCGACAGCCTGAGCCAAGGTTTGAATCCCTAGCAACGCTAGCAATGTAAATGCTTCCGCGTGTTTGGAGTGCCATCTGGAATCGCCACCTATCGTTCAGTGAAGTTAGTCCAGATACGGTCAACAGCATCAGAATAGTTAAATAAAAAATACAATTGCCTCATTAACATGACGTCATTGTTGTAACAGATGAGAACGCAACAACAATTACGAAACATTATGTCATACAAAACGTTATTGTAAACATTGTTTAGGAAGAAAATGTTGATTTTGCTATACAATAGAGAATTGTCATAGAAAGTAGATAGATAGATAGATAAATTGTTTATTGAACAATTACAGATACATAACATACATGAGATACAGAAAAAAAATGAATTCATAAAAGAAATGTAGGTGACTTTATGTGCCGCAAAAGTGAAAAGGTAGCCAACTCAGCATAATGCTACAGATAAATCTGCAGCGCTGATATTCTGTTGGCTCCTTACTTATACTATACTTATTACTAAAAAAATACAAACTTCGAGCTCTTTATCAAAATATATAAAGTATGAATAAACTGTAAATAATGTTGATGTTTTCTGGGGTTATTAATGCAGAGCGCAGTGAAGTAATTTATAATGAAGATGTAAACTTCTTATAATCATTTTATTAACAACTAAGTACTTACTCCTACATTACAGAAACCAGAGAGAATGTATAGACAATGAGTTACAGATTAGTAAATATTTCTGTATCACCACAGATTATACCTTAACAAATGTGATAAATTATGTTATTAAACTACTTATAACTACTAAGTAAAGTTTGGAGCTTCCAAATGACAATAATAATACTTCATATTAAACAACGTATGAATACTTGATGTACCAATAAAGTATATAAATATGAATGAAAATAAGTCAGTAGAACTAAAACTATTGAATTAAAGTTTAATAGAAAACATACTCTACTATAATGTTGTACAGTTTTCTTTAAAAATTTGTAATCTTATTTCAGAATTCTTCTGCAGAGATCCTGATACCGGTAAACTTCACGCTGTAAATACAACATGGCCATCGGAAACGTTTTGTGGTAATTACACCTGTAAACTTAGAAAACTGAACAGAACTGAGACTCAATACGCGCCTATAAGACAAATAAGTGTAACCGATGTTCCTATATTTAAATCAAACAATAACGAATTAAATAATAATAATTCTCAAAACAATTTATTTAAAATAGAATCAATTAAGAATATTTCTAAAATTTTAAATACTAAAAATGACAAATATGATCCACAAACCGCAAAAAGCAATGTTGTTGGGGAAGTTACCGATGGTACTGACAGAGTATTAAATGAGAAAGAGATAAAAACTATATCTAAATTATTGCATGATGTCAAAAAAAGCGATTTGGAAGCAATATTAGACATTTATAATTTAGCTCAAGATTTATACAAAGAAATGGATAAAGTGACAAATGCTAATACCATACAAGAAACGCCAAAATCTATTACACAAGAAAATCAAGATAATTTATTACAAGATGCTAATGATTTTATTAAAAACAATAAGTCAGAACACGAACCCTCACAGAGTCATCATATGACTAATGAAGCGTTAGATATGGACTTACAAACTTCAAATATTGTACAGACTACTGTATCCCCAAATAAAGAAAATGCATATTATAATTTTGGAAGCACATTGACTACTCAAGATTTTGCAAGGCTTCCATACTACTATCCATTATCCAGTTTTCAAAGACAATATTCATATGTTCATCCATCTTATACTGTTTGTCAAAATAATAATAAATCACAGGCATGCAATCAAGAATCTGGTACAACCAAAAATGTTCCAGTAGGTCCTCCTAGTTTTAGCGGAGTGATGAAAAAACCTTTTACAGTAGACTATCATAAGTCCATGCAACCTGTACTCCTACCATATCCGTTTGCTTACGTTCATCATTACAATTCTAGTGGTCACCAAAGTAATTTCTATTACGACGAAAATCCATGGACTCGCTATCAAACATACAAACAAAGTGGAAGTTATCTTCCATATTATATAGCACAATTAAGCAAACCACAATCTGTTAAAGCCGAACCTAATATAGAAATTGCAGATGATAAATCAAAGACTGGTGATTTATTAAAGACCTTATTATCGAAACCTAAGGTTGATAAAGGTATGCCTGAATGGAAAACAAAACCATTATCAAGTAATATATTAGAAGAAGTAAGAGCACATTTCGAACAGAAAGCTAAGTTGATAAAACCAATTTCATTGCGAAAAAAGGTAAATTTAGAGAGGGTTGGTAAAGTTATAAAGTTAGATGAATTGAATAGAAATAAGAGGAGTGTTGGTGGAGAGAAAATTGAAGGTGTTGATCTGTACGAAGCCTATATTGAAAGGACAACGTAAGTAGTGATTTTTTTAATACTGTAAAAATAGATAGAGCTTGTTAATACAACTGCGTACTTGTTTATGTGTACATTGTTCGATACTATTAACTTAGTCGATACAAATTTCTCATAAACCGTATACTTTATTGCTGTTGAATTGTGACTCACACTATTGGACTGAAATCAATGATTTCATAGAGCATATGTTTTAGCTATGTTATTTATAGTAATATAAGTATCTTCTATATAAATCTAGAATAGAATATATGAGAGTACCAAATTTTTCTAAAAGTAGTCCAATTCTTTAAGGACTTTACTTAATTAAAAATTAATAATAAATCAAACAATTCAGAACAATTCACACAGCGCCATCTAGACCCAAGTTAAGCTAGCTAAAGCTTGTGTTATGGGTACTAGATAACTGTTACAAATACATAGATATATATTTTTTTTCAATCTACCGCTCATTCGGAAAACTGATTCATTACGTTTGTTTCATTAAGAAGAATGAGCAAGAAACTTGTATGTTGCTCTTTTAAATAATTTTGTGTAATAATTATAATAATTTCCATGAACAATTAACACAGCGCCATCTAGTCTCAAACTAAGCAGAGCTTGTGTGTGTACTAGACAACTGATATAAATACTTAGATATTTTTGTAAATACGTACATAATATACATAGAAAACAACTTACGTTAAAATTGATTTTTTTTACTCTGGACAATTTACACAGCGCCATCTAGTCCCACGGTCAGCAGAGCTTGTGTTATGGGTACTGGACAACTGATATGTTCTACTAGACAACTAATATAACATATCAGTTATTATATTGGATTTACCCTTAAATAAATTCAAAACATCTGTTAAATCATATTTATTGAGCAATGCCTATTACTCACTAAACGATTACTTGAATGACGAGCGTGCATGGCAATAGTTTTCATGTTCGGGATTTTCATTTAATGTTAGGCATAGACACCTATATAAATACCTATGCATTGTAAATATACTGATTTAAAAAAAAAGTAATTCAATTGAGTTTCTTGCCAGTTCTTCTCAATTGGATCTATATACCGAACTGGACGGTAGGGAAAAAAAATTAAAATGTGAAATTTTGACGTTCATAAGCGGCTAAAATGTCCTACATGAATAATTGATTTTTGAATTTGAATTTGATATAAATAGCTATTCCATAAATATACATGTATGAGTGATTACATTTGTGTGTGTGTTCTATCACAATACAATAAAAAACATGATACACTACATCCTCAGAAGGGTTGCTGCAAGATAGAGTGAACGACGGTGTGTTTTTTTCTTGTAACTATTTGTCAACATTTTTAATGCGTTTTTTATAGAGAATATTTTAATCCCCACACAATCGACTTCAAAAACGGACTAGTATCAGTTTGTATTATTTTTATGTACATTAAAATTGACGGCCTCGGTAGTTTAGCGGTTTATCACACCGCTTTGCTACCAATGGTCGCGGGTTCGATTCCTCGCACGGTGTAAACATTTGTATTCATGAGAATGTTTGTTTGTATCGGTCTGGTTGTTTTCTATGTATATATTTACAAAGTATTTATATCAGTTATCTCGTACCCATAACACAAGTTCTGCTTACTGTGGGACTAGATGGCGCTGGGTAAATTGTCCAGAGTTAAAAAAAACAATTTTAACGTAAGTTATTTTCTATGTACATTGAGTATGTATTTACAAAAATATCTAAGTATTTATATCAGTTGTCTAGTACACACACAAGCTCTGCTAACCGTGGGACTAGATGGCGCTGGGTAAATTGTCCATGGTTAAAAAAAAACAATTTTAACGTAAGTTATTTTCTATGTACATTGAGTATGTATTTACAAAAATATCTAAGTATTTATATCAGTTGTCTAGTACACAATAAGTTATGCTTTGGCACTGTGTAAATTGTCCAGGTTTAAAAAAATCCAATTTTAATGTAAGTATCCCATACCGTAATGGTTCTAAAAAGATACATTTATATTTCCAGATGCCAATCAGAGGAGGATCCGGGATTCTTCCGAATGGGTAACCACACAGAACCCTACCCGGCCTGCTGCCCACAAAGAATAAGTTGATGAATTGTAGATAATAACGTACAACCTTTCCTAACATAGCCTTTAATATAAGTATGATTAAGTTATTTTAAAGTCTTACTCACCCAAACCACTGATTGTAAATTCAAATTCAAATTCAAATTCAAAAATCATTTATTCATGTAGGACATTTTAGCCGCTTATGAACGTCAAATTTTTACATTCTAATTTTTTTTTTTTCCTACCGTCTATTTCGGTATATAGATCCAATTGAGAAGAACTGGCAAGAAACTCAATTGAATATATATTTTTTATGAGCCAGTTTATTTACAATTTATATTTATATAGGTGTCTACGTCTAACATTAAATGAAAATTCAGTGCATGAACAACTATTGCCATGCACACTCGTCATTCAAGTAATCGTTTAGTGAGTAATAGGCTTTGCCCAGTAAATATGATTTAACAGATGTTTTGAATTTATTTAAGGGTAATTCCAACATATCCTTTGGTATCTTATTGTAAATTTTTATACCTATTCCCATAAAAGACCTATTAACTTTTTCTAAACGATACTTGGGGACAGCGAGTTTGTCTTTAAATCTAGTATTAAACAATCGAAGGTTGCAATTCCAATAACAAACCCACGACTCACAAAACGTCTATTAAACCTAAATAGGCAAATCCTTTAAATAATGATAGGGACAATAATAGTCCACTGTCCCTTAAACAAACACCTGTACACAATCGGTGCTACAGACAGTCCCTTTTGTCGGGGCTGCTTTGAAGCCGAAGAAACGACCACTCACGTAGTCCTGGAGTGCTGGCAGTGGCCACACAACGAACACAAATCCTCGGAACCACCAGGAGAAGTCACCAGGAGTCTTCTGTGAGGAGCTTGGCTGGCTACGTTAGTAGTCTCGGCTCTACACGCATAACGGTCCAAATGAGAGGCAATTTGCGGAGAATAGAGTCCATATTACATTTATAAGTCTTACTCATATATCCAAGAGTATTTTTATATGCTAATTTCTCTGCAGTGCTAATTTTAGTGAAGTCGTTACTCGATAAAAAGTCCTACTATGGACTAAAAAAAGTATCAACTTGTTTGTTATTCCTATTACATAAAAATCAAGCTACTCGCCTCGACTTCGCTTGGGTGTACATTATTATACACATAAACTTTCCTCTTGAATCACTCTAGCTATTTAAAAAACCGCTTCAAAATCCGTTGCGTAGTTTTAAAGTTATCTTTAAAATTACGCAACGGATTTTGAAGCGGTTTTTTAGCGGCATACATAAGGACGGACAGACAGCGACAGCGACTTTGTCCGTTGCGTAGTTTTAAAGTTATCTTTAAAATTACGCAACGGATTTTGAAGCGGTTTTTTAGCGGCATACATAAGGACGGACAGACAGCGACAGCGACTTTGTTTTATATTTATTTTTATTTATTCTTTAATGCACAAAAAAAACTTGTACAAAGGCGAGCTTAATGCCATATGGCATTCTCCACCAGCTAACCTTTAAGTATAAAGAAAGCGTTGTGGGGCAGTTATGTCAAAAACAAACACAAAGTTACTAATAAATATTATATAATATATATGAAATGCAAATAAATATATACAAATAATAATATATATAGTATACCCGATATTATATAATGTCATACATTAATGTTAAATATAGATAAATATAATACTAATACAATGCAATACAGTTATAACTCATTTTGGTGATTGAAAAGAAAATTAAATAATTTCTTTTTAAAAATGGGCTTACTCGATGCTTTACGCTTTATACTGTGTAATGATAATGAAGGAAGAATAAATATCTCCAACGAAACAGATCAGCCCGATGGATTAGATGCTAAATCGTGTTTCCGATTTAATGTTATTTAAATATAAACAGTGACTTCACGTTTATAATAGAATTAAATTGAATTGAAAGAAAAAAATTGTAATGTTTATAACTCTTTAGATTTGTAAAAAGTATTTATTATTCTTGTAAATATATAATTATTATTGCTTATTAAATTTTTTTTGCTCTGTATTTCTTAAACGAGCATGCGGCTCACCTGATGGTAAGTGATTACCGCCGCCCATGAGCACCCGCAACACCAGGGGAATTGCAAGTACGTTGTCGGCCTTTTAAAAAGGAATAAGCTCTTTTCTTGAAGGTTTCTATATCGTATCGGTTCGGGAATACCATTGCTGGAAGGTGATTATATCATTGAACTGTAAACTGTTGCTTTTTTTTTATAAGAATAATCTCACGAGAACTCATATAACGCCATCTAGTTCCAAAACTAAGCAGAGCACTACACGCATCATATTGGTGGTCTAGCGGTTTAGCATACCGTCTTACTTCCGATGGTTGCAGGTTCGATTCCTCTCAAACATTTTGTATTCATGAGTATGATTGTTTGTGTCGGTCTGGGTGTTTTCTATGTATGATATATATGTATTTACAAAGAAAATCTATATATTTGTATCAGTTATCTAGTATCTATAACACAAGCTTTAGCTAGCTTAACTTGGGCCTAGATGGCGCTGTGGGAATTGTCCTGAGATTATTATTATTATTCCCATCGTCTCACTCTCTCAGCTTCTGCTGGATTTTTTCCACACTTACCGGGCGAAATTAAGTAACTGCCGCGTGTGTGTATGTGTGTGTGTGTGTGTGTGTGGGTATGTATGTGTGTGTGCGTGTATTATTTTTTTTTTCCAAAAATTCTCATCTCCCCTCTTAAGGAGAGGAGATGGCAACATACCCCCGGCAGAAGTACAGTCGGCCGGGGTTCAGGGCCCCAGGGAGAGAAACCGGCGTACAATGCGGGCAGAATCTAACAGCACCGCTTTCTGCATCTTTCCCGGGAGTGAACCGCCCCGGAATCCCAACCGTCTGAGATGTTGTTCCAGACTGTTTGGGATAAGACCGTTCACCGACATAACGATTGGAATGATTTCGGTGGACATCACCCCCCACATTTCGGTCACCTCGTGAGCCAGGTCGAGATACTTTCTCTTTTTCTCAGTTTCGGCTTTCACGAGGTTCTCGTCATGCGGTATGGTGATGTCCACCAAAAACACCCTCGAAAGTGCCCGATCCATCACCACGATATCAGGTTTGTTCGCAAGAACGATCCTGTCCGTGATGATGGATCGGTCCCAGTAGAGCTTGACGCTGTCGCTTTCGAGGACCGGCTGGGGCTCGTACTTATAGTACGGCAACCTCTCATTCGCGAGGCCGTACTTCAGAGCTAGTTCTTGATGGAGTATTTTGGCTACCTGGTTGTGTCTGTGCAAGTACTCAGTGTTGGCATGAGCTGAACAACCCGAAAGCACATGTCTGAGTGACTCTCCGGGATGGCGACATGCCCGACAGATGTCCTCAGTGCCATCCTTCAGAATGTGCTTTCGGTAATTGTTCGTCTTAACCACCTGATCCTGTATTGCACAGACATTTATTATTATTATTATTGTTGTACACTAATAATTTCCAAAACAGTCCATTTGTTAAAACCACATTAGTCAAACGACACACGGTCCCAATTAAGCCGGCGTTTTCTCAGATAGAGACTAATTTAAAAATAATCACCAAAAAACTGTACCAATAAATCAGATAGGGTGCGAGACGCCCCCACAGGGCGACTTGGGAACGTCGTGCGACAATAAAACTTTTTTTTAATACGAAATAGCCTACTGTTAGACTCGTTATTTATTGAAAACTAGCTGGTTATCCGGTACTTCGTCCACGTGGATTTTACCGTTTGTTTCATTATTATAACTAGCTGTACCCGCGACTTCGTTCGCGTGGTTATCAAAAACATAGTGTTTTTGTGATTATCTTTTGATACCAAATTTGATATCCATAAAAAAGGTTATAGTTGGTCAATCTTAAAAGATAAACATATATTGACGTGGACATTTTTTTAGATCATTTAAAGAGGAATAATTCTTTCATACATATTAATTCCTCGACAAATAGACTTCTAACCATTAGTTCCCGATATTAGCGCGTTCAAACAAACAAACTCTTCCGCTTTATAATATTAGTATAGACAAAACCTGTATCATATACTTAGAATGCTGGATCGGAAAAAATACGGCATCAAAGTTTAGAACGAGAACGTCACTCACTTACGATTTGCTGACGATATTGTTATCAAGGCTGAATCGATGCAGGACTTACAACAGGTGCTGACCTGGCTGAGTCATCTCGTCATCGGCCTCGGATGAATTTGGACAAAACGAATCTTGTTCAGTGATCACATTCGTCCGAAAACGATTGACATAAAAGGAGTTCCGAGGGTAAATGCCCCAACTTGGTAAAAATTTTGAAGAGCCAAAGGCCAAGAGACGGATACAGTGGGGCTTTTGAAAAACTCCGACAAGTCTTCTCGTTATAGCGTCCACAAAGCCTTACGAAGATGAAATGTGGACACTGAGGATACGACTGATCCACGAATTAAAGCTGCTCAACGAGCTATAGATAAAGCTATGCTTGGAGTTTCTCTGAAAGATCAAATCCGAAACGAAGTAATTCGCCATAGAACTGAGGCCGCCGAGGTCAATACGGACAGAGCTCTTAGTATTTGCAACTTGAAGTGACAGTGGGTTGATTATATCTGTCGCAGATTCGACGCTCGCTGGAGTAGACGTGTTCTAGACTGGAGAATGCGAATTGGCAAACGTAATGTAGGACGTCCCGAAGGCTAGGTGGAGCAAGGACATTCGTAGGGTTACGGGTAATAACTGGAAGGGAAGAAGGTGCCCAGGAGTGTGCCGTGGAGAGGCCTATGTCTAGCAGTGGACTGCAGTGAGCTGATGTTGATGATAATGATATTATATGCACATTTTAATTAGGGTCTATTTATTAATTAGCACAGATTATACCTATCTCAAACACAGCTTCTCATGACAATTGTTTGTGATAGTAAATTTGAATTATATTATCCAAAAATACTACATGTATTGATTGCCATCCAAGTTTATGAGAAATAAACAAATTACTTTTATTATTAGCTTGATTTCAGCTTGG